CTGCTTCTGATTGGCTTTGCCTATTTCAGTATGTCTCCCTTATTGCAAGACTCCAAATAAGTCTGTCTAGAAAACATGTGTCATATAAATAGCCTGACCAAGACATAGCTACAAATCTAATGTGATTAAATTCCCGAGTATTAAACCATCTGACCCTGTGCTTCAGAGTACGGTTCATAAATGTAGACAGAAATAAAGTGTGACATCAGGGCGGCTCAGAGAAGCTAGTTTCACATCCATTAGAGAGTCAGAGGAAAATATTTATGATTTATGATCACACAGTAATGGATTTTCAGTACTGGCTTTTGAGTGCTGATTTAAAGCCCTTGTGATTACTGGTTTAAGTCATTTACAAGTAGTGATTTGAATCCAGAAATAAAAACAATCCAGACCTGATGCACATTTATTAGCTGATATAGGTTAGGCTGATTGATGGCTGTAAAGGCAGATATATAACCAAATAAACACATTATAGCAATAAACCCATATAGAGAAAGACCAGGAATAATTCTGGAGGTGGTATATTTTGACGCTCTGCCAGTGTGACTAGATGGAAGGACTCTTCATGTTTGGAGGGAATTGGCCGTAACTGAATTGTAGCTCCAACGAGACGGAGAATCTCCCGCAGTGCGTGGGGTCTGGTTATGTCTGTGTCAAACACCTTGATTTCTCTGCGCTTATTCTGTCCTGTTTATCTCTGGATGTCTATTATTTTCCATGTTGAATCTGTCAGTGACTCAACCTGTCTGAGGTAATAAAAAAAGCAAAGTGCACAATGGGCCCACTTGAGGCCCGTCCATCTGTCCATCAGTCCGGCTGCCCGTGTCCTTCGCTCACGCCCCCCTGTTTTCGTCTTTCTGCCTGTTTTTCGCTGAGGGAGTGTTTTCGCATGAGTGCGAGGGGAGAGAGTGAGCTAATAGTTTTGCTCCAATTGAGTAGGTGGTGGAAAGGGGGGGCAAAAAAGAAGGAGGGGAGGGAGGAGAGATGGAAGGGAAAGAGAGCGAGTGGAGGAGTGGGTGGGAGGGGGGCTTTTATAAAAGCCTGACATCATAGAATAAGAATCAGTTTCAGGCAAAGAGAAGGGGAAGAGAATTGGATTGAACGAGCTTGTGCACATCACTTCCATACTTACGGTAAGTAAAAGGCCTTCTGCACATCACCTCCATACTGATGGTAAGCCAAAGACTGTGCACATCACCTTCATACTGACAATGTCAAAGACTTTGTGCACATCACTTCCATACTTATGGTAAGTCAAAGGTCTTGTGCGCATCACTTCCATACTGACGGTAAGCCAAAGACTTTGTGCACATCACCTTCACACTGACGATAAGTCAAAGACCTTGTGCACATCACTTCCATACTTAAGGTAAGTCAAAGACCTTGTGCACATCACCTCCATACTTATGGTAAGTCAAAGACCTTGTGTACATCACCTCCATACTTAAGGTAAGTGTGACGCCACTCTCTGCTTCCCACTGGACAGGAGCTGTTTACTGTTTGCTCTCTTATATGCTGGTGTCCTCATGCCTGCTGGTTGTTCCTCTAGTCCAGTGTAATTTACTGCTGTGTGTGTATGTGTTGGGGGGGGGTGTCCATTTCTCAATTTCTCTGGCTACTATGGGATAATCTGCTGAACCTGCAGCCGGCCCCTCAGCCTAGTGATGAAACACTTGTAGACGGTGTCAGAACAAGATGACCAGTGGTCAGAGGCAGGGGGTGGTAAAGGAGAAGAGTACGAACACCATGGACCACAACCCCCCCCCCCCCCCCATGACAGAGGGCAAGACATCTGCTTACAGGAGAACATCCCAGCTGTGCACCGTAGCGTTCACATCTGGCACTCGTTTGTGCGAGTGTGAAACACCTGGCGCTGCACCTGCATGCCGGCCAACTCTCTCTGTCCCTCTGCCTTTTCCCCACATCTCCTCCCATCTGCCGCAGGGTGAGGTGACCTTCTAGGCAATTGGCAGCTGTGATTCACAAAATGAAATGAATGAATGAATCATTCATTCATTCAACACGAAATGCACGTGCAGTTTGAGGATTCGCTCCCTGTCCTTGTATCCCATTGACGCAATTTATGTGCTTGGCTGGTAATTCCCATGTTCTGAGTGTCCCATCTCTCTGCTCCAGCAGACAGACATGATGAAGGCCATCCTACAGTGTGTGTTCCTCGCCGCTCTCCTCACGATGTGCCTCTGCTACGGTATGACGTATAAAACACCGTTGCCGCCCTCTGACGCTTACGTCCCGAATCGGGGTTTATTCCTGTTTTGTTTTTGCAGATTCCCACGAGAGTCAGGAATCACTTGAAGGTAATTTCATTCGGTCGCTCGTACCGTGACAAACTCACACTTTCTTATAGCAGGTAACCTTAGCTGTTGCGTTATCAGAGCATGGCAATCGTTTTGTTGACATACTTTTTAAAATACAGTATATTTTAATTTAATTAAAAGATATATTTTTCGTAATTCTCATGTTTTCGTCTTGTATATTTCACAGACCCATTTGTCACTCGGTACCGGGCCAATTCCTTCTTCAACACCCAAAGAGGATCCATCTACAACAACTACAACTACAGAAGGTAACCATCTGTATTACCATGGTAACCTGGCATCTATGCAATACAGCTTCACAGAGTAACAGCGATTCTGATTGGCCCCTGATTTCATACATTAAGTATTGGATACCAGGTTGTGTAGCGTCTAGGAATGTGAGCTTATATAAGGTTTGTGGACTGAGTCCCCAAGGAGCAACGTATGTAACCAGGATTTCTAAAATACCCTGTTGGTAAGACTCCTGAAAAACTGTAAGTTATTTGGGGGAAGTAATCAGCGAAGCGAGTAAATTTGAAAAAATCTTTCCGTTTGCTCTTTAGCGCAAAGGGTTATATCTGCGAAGGATTTCACTTAATCCTTGGTTTTGCCAGGTTGGTGAAGTCACCAGCAGAACGACGCGCGGAGGTCTGCGAGGATTTCTTTCCGTGTCGCCTGTATGCCAATCGCCACGGCTCCCACGTGGCCTATCAGAGGTTTTTTGCCTCCCGGAATCCATGGAACGGAAGATACTGATCATCGCAAGCGGCGGCGTGACTCTCCGTTAAATCAACCAGCGTTTAAGCTTTGTGCGTTTATTTTATCCCCACGTCTTATCGTGCGCGTCTAGTTTACGGCGCAGTAAATATCGGTAGAAAGGCTAGCTGATCTGCTCAGATCACTCAAGCCAATTATTATTCCTAGTTCGTTAAAATTCAAAGCACACAACAAGGGGACCTTCGAATGTATTTTCATGAATCAGCAGTTCTCAACTTTTCTCTGTTCACTTTTCTACTTTTGTGGCCATCAAGGTTCAAGTTTTTATAGACATTCGTACATTGTATAAAATTAATCAGCAACGTGTCAAACGAAAACATACAAACAAATGCAAAAGAAAAATATAGCGGCATTGCGTCAATATTTTTGGCTGTTTGCTACAGAAAATGATAAACGTAAACCACCGTTACAGTAGCTGCTAAACATACGATGGATGTCGGGGTCCTGCCTACTTTTCATGATTTTGTGTAGAACTATTTTAACTTTCGTGTTTTCCATATAATTCTTACAATAAAGTTATTTTGATGTACCAAAAAAGACGTGGATGTTTGTACTGTCTGATGGCCAATGCAGCCTGCATCAGAAACGAGGACAAAGAACAGAGATGAGCTGAAGCTGCGCTGGTCGCCCGGCATTAAGTTGCGGCTTCGCCGCTTACCCGCATGCGGACTCCCCGCGGCGATACGCTGGGTTCATCGGGGACGCGTCCTTCAGCGCCCTCTCCTTGCCGATGTGTATACGTGGGGAAGCAGAGCGAAAGCAGACGACCAAATTACACCCCATATCGCCAAGAGTAACTGCGCACACTAGAAATATCACTGACGGAGGGACACGAGGTCAGCTCGCCGCATGCCGAAGGCTGCTGGGCATCTGTCTGTGCTGCGTGTCGGTACTGTGCATTTCTGTGCGGTACATATACTGCGTATGTACACTTAATTATATGTAAATCAATTCAGTACAACATGGTAACAAAGAAATACGACAGAAGTAAGAAAAATTATTAATTTATTAAGTACTTTGAGTAACCTGGGTACACGTTTTCTGCGACAAGCCCGTTGAATATATGTTGTAGCTATTCTATTGAATATTAAACCTTAGAAAAAAAAACAAATGGTACAAACAAATTCAGTCAAGATTTTATTCTCTGCAGTTTTTTCTATGCAGACTGGATCCTTATCGCTTGTTTAGCGGAAGGGGGTACCGATAAACCGAATGAGGTTTAGTGGTTTCTTGCATTTTTGCATCCTCAGCACCACGGTCCTCACACACCCGTCGGTTTGTTTGTGGGCTGAAAAGGGGGGAGGGTGTCAGGTCTGCAAGTCAGAAATTTTCATGGAAAAATAAAACCGCTAGTCCCGACGACTGATTTATTTTAACGTGCTAAATATTTGACCTCTATCTTTGTGAAATAGTTATAATCGTCATACTAGTATTGCAAACAATCTAAGAATATGTCTAAACCAAACTGTAAACTGGCTGAATATTTGGATATAAGGTTACATTGGTTATGCTGATAGTGCACAGTGCTAATATGATAGATTATTGATACAAATCATATGTGTTTGCCACTCAAATATGAATAAATTGCATGTAGACTTGGGGAAAATAGTGGAATTCTGCAGAAAGCTTAGCTCTTCTCTGCCCATATATAATGGCATGAATATAATTGTGTGTGCGTTTGCGCAGGGTGTGTGTGCCACACGATTCTCCTCCAATCACACTCTCAAGCCATGTGTGGGGGGGTCAAGTTATAAACTGGATGCCCTGGGCAAGCTGGGATCAGGACTGGGACCAGGCTTCTGAAGCTGCTGAGCGACCTGATAGAGAAGATGAAGACCTTTGCTGTACTCGTCCTGTTTGCCTTGGTGTCGGTCTGTCTGTCCACAGGAGGTAAGGACCAGCATGCTGGGTGTAATTGCCTGTACTGGTGGCTGAGTTCCCTCACATGTGGTCCCAATAAGGACCATAACAGAAAAAAAATAATAACAGTGCTGCAATTCATTTAATAAAATTCAATTTTTTTGCTCAGTTGACAATATTGCAATTCTCTACTCTCTCTTTTGTTAATAATCCCCCCTCCCTGCAGACTCCAAAGACACTGTATCAGGGAACGTCGCTGATTCTCCAAGCAATGCGGGTTAGGAGACAGGACTTCACAACATGCCCCACACATGCTGCTGCATGCAACCGTGTGTGTGTGTGTGTGTGTGTGTGTGTGAGTGTGTGAGTGTGTGTGTGTGAGAGTGTGTGTGTGTGTGTGTGTATGTGTTGGGGTCACAATGCTCAGTCCTCGGTAGCTTTTTATCTGTGCATCGATGTGTATTTACATCTGTAATTTACATGTCATTCACATAGAGCCTGCATATGTATATAATCATGCATGCATGCTGCATGTTATGCATGTGCATGTTCGCTGTGCAGATTTCAAAGTGCAAAAGACAGTGATGCATTTTCTGTGCATGCACGCCTGTTTGTCTAAATATGTTTTATGTATATATGCCTGCGCTTATGTGTGTTGCACATGTTTGCATAAATATGTGTGTATGTGTTACAGATATATTTGTGAAGAGAGACCTGGCCTCCAACCTGATGAGGCAGAAGAGGGCTGGGACAGCCCCCACAGCCCTGACCCTGACCCAGCTAGAGAGGTGCCCTCAGCTTTCTGACCCCCCCACCCCCCACCCCCCGCTGTAGCACAGCACACAGAAAGCCTCACTTGCCATGCATTAAGCACTAGGCTAACATGGCAATGCAGTGCCTTATTCTGCATACATTCGTAAAATTCAAATGCGAACAATCTATTTTTACAGAGGAGTAGGTGTGGTTTCATATGCAGTTCATAGGCTCCTCTAACTTCGGTCTTCCTCTCTGCCCTCTTCCACTTGCTGCCTGTTCCTCCCTTGCTCTTCCCTCTCTTTTCTTCCGGGACAGCTTGAGAGAGGTCTGTGAGGTGAACATGGCGTGTGAGCACATGGCGGAGACTGCTGGAATCGTGGCCGCTTACACGGCTTACTACGGACCAATCCCCTACTAGTCAGCAACATGGCCGGCCTGTTGTCTCCGGGATAAGAGCTTGTCAGGATTGTCACTGTCTTTTTCAGGAAGCAATTTTTTTGGTGCTGAATTTAAAGAGGACCAACGATCTGAATGCCCCCAAAGATTTAACCTTCATGTGACACCGATCTCAGCAACTGTTTCAGGTTGTTAGAACAAAACCATATGTTTGGATTGGAAGCTAATATCCATCATGTGCCCATCTTATTTAAATCAGAAACCCTCAACTCTATACTAATCATTCACTTAAGAGGGAGACAGAAGAGAGAGATAGAGAGGAGAGAGAACGAGAAAGAGAGAGAGAGAGAGAGAGAGAGAGAGAGAAGTATGGAATAGTAGAATCTAGCTTGTCGCATGAAAATGCCACCATCATGGTTGTTAAAGGGTACAACTATAGATGTAAACAATAATGAAGACCAGCCAATACAACCCCTGGACCCTGTTAAATGGGCGGAGACCTCAACCCCCCCAAAGCTCAACCCAAAGTTATACACCTATCATTGATCGCAATTTAGAAAATAAAATCTGCATTTTGTTTTCTTGCTAATGTGTTTTTGTTGTCTCTCTCTGTTTTAGTTTATAGTAGATGGCTTCATTATTCCTTAGTTTAGCAACAATAAAGTACATGGAAATCAACATCTGCTGTGTCCATTCTGTTTGGCTGCCGTTACTGTCACTCTCAGCGTTTTGGGGTGGGGAGCCGAAAGGAGCAGAGGGACGGGGAATTCTGCAGTATCACAACTGAAAAGCAATGATATAGATTCATACCGTGGATCAGATATACCAAACACACTGTCCTTGGGATCAGAATTTCACAAAGATGACACTGAAAGCCGGCGTGAGGGTCCTCGACATGTCAGTCAAGCCCGATGGCCGACACTGAGCTGAAGTCTCACATGGCTGCATTCGCTTTAGGTTCAGGCTCCCATGGTGAGAGAACGGCATAGAAGACAAAATCTGGGGGCTTCACCTTGCAGTTTAGCTTGGCCAAAACTGCCCCATTTATTACACATCATACAAACTCTAACCCAGTATTTTTCTTGTTATGTAACAAGAGAATGTTATTATTTATGTAGCTCTCTTGGTAAGACTGTGGTTTCCTGCCCACTGAGTTGTGGGTTTTGCTCTCTGTTTGCATGAGTTTTCTCCAGATTCTCCTTTTCCTCCCACAATACAAACATGAGTGGCTTAAGGTGGACTGCTGTCTATAAATTGCTGGAGTGGTAGCTTGTGTGTGAATGAGGGCAATTTGATGGGCTGACATCCTGTCCGGAGTGTCCCCCACCTCAGAACCGCTGCTTCCTGCGATTGGATCCATGCAGCTGTCACCCTGTGTTGGATATGCACTCATGGGAAATGGATAGATGAATTACACAGTAAGAAACAGCCAACACCGTGAGAAATGGAAAAATCACATTTGTGATGTTTGTTATATGTTTATAATGTATGTATTTTCATCTGTAAATTATATTTCCGCTGCTGTATGCAGCATAATCTTAATTAATGGGAATTCATCGATTATTCAGTGATATAATTAAAGCCTTTAATGACATTTAAAATGGTTTTGTTATTTTTTTACGCGAAAATGTGCGTTTTTATTATAAATTTCTCTCAGAAAGGAAAATCACTGTGATGAAAAGTGTAACAGGATTGTAAGACCATTTCACTTCACGCTCCACGCAATAGATGGCAGTGTGGAGCTTCTTGACTGAATGCGAAGCACCCAAGCGCCGAAAAAGATTCATGACGTCACAGCAGTTACACGCATGCGAGGTGCATGCGCGACGAACACGTTGAGGGTCGCAGGCATGGCGGATGGAAAGGAGAGCGATAATAATGTGGAGCCAGAGGCAACGGCACTGAATGAGACTGAAGCTGCGTTTGGTGGTGAAGATGAAAAGGACACTCCAAAGACCTTCAAAGATCTTGTGAGAATTTGCGACATTATGGATTTATAGAACTAGAATATAAACCTACTGTTGTACTCGATAGCATCACTAACTACACACGGGAACATTCCAAACTTAGGCGCATGACTGTAACGTTCATATTGTCTTTTTTTTCGTTAAAAATTAGTTGCTCCTGCAGTTTTGTCAGCTAGCCTGCTAGCTTGTAAACACGACATGACCCGACGTCCAGCGACTTGTTTTTACGTTTATATAACGTGCTGGCATTTCAGCTTAGAGACGACATACCTCTTTAGAAGGTATACTTTATATTTGTGGTTTAGTTGTGACGCGCAGTGTTTAAGCCTCAAAAGGGATCGGATTTAGAAAGCTATCATCCACTTTCCTGAGTGTGCCTTCCGCAATGGCTCTGCCAGATGCCGCCCTTTGCTTTGTTGACGACCCCTTAATGTGATTCTTAGGGGGTGACAGATGTGCTGTGTGAAGCCTGTGAACAGCTCGGATGGAAACATCCCACAAAGATCCAGGTGGAGGCCATACCTGTAGCCCTTGAAGGTGAGTGTGTGGAGACTGGAGGCAGGTGGGGTAGTTAAAGGCCATCATACGTCCGGTTGAAAGGACATGGAACATATTAAGTCTTGATGAAACTGAGGAACATTATCTACCTTTGTTTTCCACTGCATAGTAGTACAGTGTATGATTCTGTATGTGACAAATAAAACTCTGAACTTGAGCATCTAAACCTCGATGAGTTCGGTAAAGCATCTAGCTGGATAAGTGGGTAAATGATTAGATGCTTGGGATTGTTGTGACTGAGCAAGAACAAATAATGTAACAATAAAAGTAAAAAAATAACAATGATAACAGCTGTTAGACTACTTAGTGTGCGCTGTCCCTGCCCTATGTTTATAGGACGTGATGTCATCGGCTTGGCTGAGACCGGCTCGGGGAAGACGGGGGCCTTTGCCCTGCCCATCCTGCAGTCGCTCCTCTCCTCAGCCCAGAGGCTCCACTCCCTGATCCTGACGCCCACCAGGGAGCTGGCCTTCCAGATCGGCGAGCAGTTCGAGGCCTTGGGATCCAGCATCGGCGTCAAGACCGGTGTGTGGCTCTGGGCGTCTGTGAAAAGCACAGCTCCGTGCTGGAGGGGATGGAGAAGCCGGGGCGGGGGGTCCGGTGTCACCACACGTTAACAGGCTCTGCTTTTGTCCCTGCTTTAGCTGTCATTGTTGGCGGAATTGATATGATGTCCCAGTCGATCTCATTGGCCAAGAAACCTCACATTGTCATTGGTGAGTCAGACAGCCTCTCTTTATAGAGTAATGCACTTCTGAATTCTGTAACCTCACCTAATAACTGGCGCGGAAATTCAGTTTTAAAATGTGTGCAAGAGCAGGTATAATACTAAAGGAAGTAGGTTTGTAACCCAAAGGTTGCTAGTTCAGGTCCCCGGAAGGGCTCTGTTTAATTGGGGTAATAAATCTGAATTGCTACTTTGCAATCTGCAATTTTTTAGATAAAACTACTGAATAAATAAATATGTGTAAATTCCACACTGTCTAGGTTGTCCTGCGCTCTCTGCAGATGTATAAATGTAGTCCTTAGATGTTTGTCAGGCTTGTGTTCCGCTGGTTACGCTGGGCATCATCAGTAGGTTCACTAAAATGCCCAGCAGTGCCGTAACAACACATTATGTAATGACGATGAAATGTAACGAGTTTATAAACTACATTACATTTAAATCCCGTTATAACGGACTTCAAGGGACCTGGCAAAACAGTCCATTACATCCAATCCAGAGTTGCTGTATGGCCAGAACACAACTACAGGACGCCATTTACTCATGCCACACCTCAGCAGACACACTTGTGGTATAGATTATTATACTGTACATGTAGTAATCCAACTTTACCTGACCAGATGCGTGACTATTAATAATCCCGACTACGTATCTGCGCTGGATATCACCAGCCCGCCACGCGCCTTGTAGGCGGAGCCTGTATGTCCGTTATAGCCGAACAAAACTACAGCTAAAAGCGGCCCTGGGGACCAAATTGTTTGTCCGTTATAATCGAAATTCCGTCATATGCAAGTCCGCTATATCCGATGCTTTTTCTGCATGTTCTTAAAGGCGCACAGCCGGGACCAGCGGACATCGTCTATTATAGAAGATATTCCGTTATAAGCGAGTCCACTATAACGGGATTTTACTGTATGATTTTATATTGTGACATTACCCTGTAATCATCATCATCATTGTTGTTATCATTCAATTTGTTACATTCTGTCGAGTTATCACATAATGTGGCATTATTACAGCATGCGTTGTCACAAGTGCCCTTTCACAAGCAATGGATGGCGTTTTCTCTAGCCAGTGTTGTGATCATTCCTAAATCCGTTTATCCTGGATCGTTTAGCCACTCCTGGCAGGCTGATAGACCACCTGGAGAACACGAAAGGCTTCACGCTGCGGGCCTTGAAGTTCCTGGTGATGGACGAGGCAGACAGGATCCTCAACATGGACTTTGAGACGGAGGTCTGCCCTGGATATCTGCCCACTGCACACCCCGATAAGATTCATGTGGGGAGGTGCGAACCCCCGCAGAATAAACACACGGCCTTCTCGCCCCCTTCTGCTCTCTCAGGTAGATAAGATCCTGAAGGTGATTCCCAGGGAGCGACGCACGTTCCTCTTCTCCGCCACAATGACTAAGAAGGTACCTATTCCGTTCTACAGCCCCTCAAAGGTCTTTCTCCCTTGATCTCTGTCACTCTTTGATCTCAGGATTGTCCTTAAATATGGCTTAATATTCGTTACTGTAGGTTCAGAAGTTACAGAGAGCAGCCCTGAAGGACCCAGTGAAGTGTGCTGTGTCGACCAAGTACACCACAGTGGACAAGCTGCAACAGTATTACATCTTCATACCATCCAAGTACAAGGTGAACCAGTGCATGGGTTCTTCTCTCTCTCTGTCCCTTGTTCCTTACGTTGGCCTCCAAGCTCAATGCCATATGCCAGATTACACCCTCAGCCTCTGTTCCTCCAGTTGACTTGGATCTTGCGCTTATTTTGTTTTTTGACATCCCTCCTAGTGTCTCAGCCCCTGTCTGTAATGTCCTCCTCATCCCTTTGCTTATATATTTGGCTGCACAGGCCCCAATATATCTCTCTCTCCTTTTGTAACCAGGACTGTTATCTGGTCTCCATTCTAAACGAGCTGGCGGGAAACTCCTTCATGATCTTCTGCAGCACCTGCAATAATGCCCAGCGGGTGGCGCTCATGCTGCGAAACCTGGGCATCACCGCCATTCCCCTGCATGGACAGATGAGCCAGGTGAATGAGATGGAGGCAGACAGTGCAGTGTCCCCCCTGTGTAAAACGCCCTGCTCCATCACTACATATTAAACAACTGCTTCTGAAGTTCTTATGACATTGAGACTGTGATCGTCTTTCAGAACAAGCGTCTCGGAGCCCTGAACAAGTTCAAGTCCAAGTCTCGCTCCGTCCTGCTGGCCACAGACGTGGCGTCCAGGGGCCTCGACATTCCACACGTCGACTGTGTCATCAACTACGACATCCCCACCCACTCCAAGGTGCCTGGCCGCCCCTCCCTGCCCGCTGTCCCTGTGCCCTCGGTCGGAGTCATCAGTACGCCTGTGCACATCATGTCTACATGTCTACCTGCAAATGCTGCACTCCAGTGTATTTTA